CCCCATACTGTCAAAGCCAACAGCAGCCAACCTGCAGAAGGCCAAAACTAATGGTGTGTGGTGCATGGTGTGCATCTCAGCCCTGTGATGAGGTGCAACAGCCTAAGAAACGTGCTGCTTCTAGCCAAGCTAGACCACAAGAGCAAAGCTGGCCTCCACCTTTATTTCAGAGCAGTCTGCAGAGTCCAGCACTCGATTCCTCCCCTTCAATAACACCCCTTTTACCCTAGAAATCAATGCCTCTTCCTCTCCTAGGCATCCTGCTTGTGGTCACCCACTACCCAGTTAGCACCCAGTGGGGATACCCAACTCATGAGTCAGCCATGGTGCAGCTCCTACCCTGGGGGTGGCCACATTACAGCAGTTGCTTAATATTTGGAGACTCCTACTCGGCCTCTTCACATCAGGGCAAACTGAAGGCAAGACTGCAGCTTCACCTCCAAACTGCCTTGCTCCTGCAGCTGCCTTCAAGGACCTTGTTGCTGAAGGCAGAGCAGGCCCCAAGAGAAAGCTCTGCACCCTGTGCTCACCAGCAGAGAGGCAGCAAAGAGCAGGGGAGGATCTCAGCAGGTTTGGGGCCTGTTCCAGCCCCAGAGCTGCATTCCCACAGTCTTGCTCATACCGACTTGTCTGGGTGGCTCTATACACCTGTGATGAGGTATATAAACCTGCTGAGGTCAGCGGAGGGATTAAAAAGTACATGGGTCCAATAAACCTACAGAGGTGCTCCAGTTCAGGGAGAAAGCAAGCTGAAGGGTAAGGCTGAGCAGAGAAGCAGGCAGTTGTTTTGAGCTCAACCACATGCAGCATGTCCTACAGATCCTGCCCCACAGGCACAGCTTCACCTCCCCCTTGGAAAATGAGGGTCCTCAAGCAAGCCCCTGGGATGAGATCCTGACGTCTTTCTGTATGCTGAACAGCGTAAGTAGCTGATCTGTGTGGGGCTGCTTAAAAAAAACACCCAAATAGGGAACAGAAAGAGCATCAAAATCAAGCTCCTGCTTTTAGAAACACACTAAAAATACACTCTGCTAGAGGAGATGGCACAACAGCTAAACCACCTGCTAGGAAAATAATACTCAATTGCTAAAGTGCCTAAATACAAACGTACATGATTTAGAGACTCTAATTTGGGTAAAGATAGTTGGGATAAGCCAACTTTCAGGAAGAGTCATTAACACTCTGGAGACAGCAGGCACACTGGTTTTGCTGCCCAAGTTCTCTTTTTGACTTTCCTGCTAACTTTACCCTCTGGTAACTTCACACGGGCGGTAAGGTACAAGTCATATTTCTTTCTGCTCTTTCTTGCAACTCCTTTAGGGCCCAACCATTTGGCCCCGCACAAGGATACGAAACAGCAGCGTGAGAGCTGGCACTATGGACTCGCACAATTACTGGCAACCCACCTGCAGGCAGTGCTCTGGGACACATAGCTGAACACCTCTGTAGCAGTTCCTTATCCACAGGGTCTGGGAGGAAAACCTTTCCTGTTGTCTACCTGGGCTTTCAACACCCACAGCCCCCTTTCCTGCACAATCTGTTCCTCTCCATTCTCTGGCAGGTTGCTCTTCAAAAGTACTTAGGTGGTACTAAAGCTGCTCTTATATCCTGCTGTCAGGGTGCAGCAAGAGCCAGCCAAAGGACAGGAGCTGAGCTTGTTAAATGGTGCCCCTGGGCCCAGGTGGAGCTGAGCAGGGCCCTTAAGGTCCGTTGGGGCCCCAGGGCCCAGCACCTGCTGCTCCCCTCACAGCAAAGCCTCTGCTCTGTGGTGCTGGTGAAAGGCTGCAGGTGCCCATCAGCCTCTCCTTCTGCCTCCCCAGCCTGCCCTGGCGTCTGTAGCTCCCAACACAACAAAGTCTGAGCTGTGACCTGGTTTTCACTGCTGTTGACTCAAAGGGTTCCCAGATTTACAGCGGCAGGACATGTTACTGGGTATGTGGTATGTGCTCCTGCTGATCTGAATTCACACGGCAAGTGTAAACTCAGGACTGGATTCTTGTGCCATGTCTTTGGGAGCTGACAGGTGACCCCAGAAGGGTTGTGCCCCTGCCGTTGAACTTGATAGTTCAGTGTACAGTGGCCTGTTTGTGTTCTGCTTGTACAATATGCGGAATACAGACCTGCTAGACAAGATCAGAGCTTAAGTTAGATGTGAAGTTATTTAAAATATTATCTACATAATGCAAGAGCTCTAAAAATGAACAATATTACATACTTTGCTCACTGAAAAAGACTCCAGGATAGATTTACTGTGCAAGCTACTACAGCTCCAATCCAAACCAATTAAAGTGAAGTAAGATTTCCTCTAACTTAAGTGCCATGGATCATAGCCCTTCACCTCCATCTTTTCACATATCTTTACAGGAACAAGAAGTTAAAGATATGCTTGCTACTTCTAGACTTACATCTTGCACAGACTGGAATTCAATTAACATTTTTCTGCAACAAAACTTGGAGAAGCACTTCAGAGCTGCTGCTCACAATGCAGAAGCAACCGAACAAATGATACTCTCATTAACGCTCTGCCTTCCCCCGCTGTGCAAGCCAAATCCTTGAACACTAAAAGCACCTCAGCATCAGCTGGGTTCACAGGCATCCAGAGCAATTTTTCAAGCTCTCTGACTTTTATAGACCAGGGGGGAAGGGATTTGGTGTGCTTTAATCCATTCTATTATATGAACTCAGAAATGGTTTTCACTCTCTAGCGCTATAAATTAAGCTGGCTGCAGTTATTCTATTCCTGATTATGCTGAAAGTTACTGGCTATAATTTGATGACTATATTTCCTTGCCCCTTTTTTTTTTCTTCTTTTCCAAATTAACCTGTGAATTTAGTTTCCCTGGTAGTAAGTAAATAATGCAATAAAACTGGAGATAGTAGCCACCACATTCACATCTGGATGCCTGAAATTGTGGATGAACACAGTAAAAGCTCCTCTCCTTTGTAGGTGGAATTTATTGCATTCACTTCCTAGCCCTTCAGACTGGAAGAACATGTTGTATGAGAAAACCAAAATTTTTTGCTACAGTGTATGCCTGTTTAATCTAGAAGACTAATCACTTTTTAGACATAAGTGAATTCACCTTTGCAAGTCATTAGGCAAATACTATCCAACCCGTTTTAGAAACTGGAAAACTCAGGTCAAGAATCATTTAGGGATGGAGCTTCTTACCCTAAAATAGTCCAATCTGTGCAACGCAAGCTACTATTAAGTATGTCTAAAGATGGAAAAGAATCTGTTTCACTAGTGTATTCATAAAAATATATGCAATTAGGGAAGAGATTCCATCTGCTTGGCTCCTCTTCCTTTGCTCTGATCACTGCAACACCTTGTCTCCTAAAGCCTGAGGGGAGGCTGTACAGACTCGGATTACCTCTGGATAAGTTAGGGCGTATGCTGTACAGTTCAGAGTGTAATAAAAAAGCTGCTTCTCTACAGTGTGATGGTATTCTGTGTGTCTAATTGTGCCTCTCTCATTCATGTGAATGAAGAAACGTGACTTTGATCATTTATTTCAGTACAAATTACTTCCCAGTATAAACATATCAGATTCCAGCTCCAGACTAGATACTCAGGACCTTAACAAATACCAGCTTTTAAAAGCTTCAGTAAAACTTACTTGGGATCCCATCAAACTCAAGTGCCCATGTCAGTTATTCTCAATTATTCTAACTATAAGGACATGTCAGGTACACAAAAGACACGATTCAGACAGCATGACTGCCCTAAAATGATAACTTTATCATAATGCACTTGACAGTGAAAAAGCAACAATAGCTATTTTGGGAACAAAAGAAAAATACAATGGATCTGATGACTAAGTGTTCTGGTCCCCAATGTAAAAGCAAAGTAGATCCCTGTCGTATTTAACTTGATTTCTTTGAATTAAACACTTCCATTAAAAGTTTCCCACAGTAGCTTTAATATTTAATTATGTATTCCACCAAAGGAAAGAACAAAATCTTTGCAAAGGTTTTTTTTTTTTTTTTGTGCATGTGAAATATTTATCAGCATATCTCTTTGGACAAGTATTTTTATCCCCTAGGCTGGGAAAAAGCTTCCATGTACAAATCAGTTTCAAAACATTTTATTTTACAGCTTGAAAGTTTTCTATACTTCAGCACCTCATGCCGTGACTTTGTTATTTCACTTGTTAATGAATGGTAATTAAATCTCTTTTGGCTGAAAAGGTTGGAGGGCTCCTGCTGTATTACAAAAACAATTTCTGAAAGTTACAAAAATGCCCAAGTGTCTAAAAATTAAAGAGTAAAGTTTGCCATGTTTTGAGTCCAAGTTTGAATCGCTTGGAAGGATTTATGTGGGAGAACAGCATGTCCCAGTCAGTGTGTATAGTCTCCCCAGCCGAACAGACATAATTATGTCACTTTGTGTCTACCAGAGTAAACAGAATCACATTCTTAATAATGTACATTGTGGCCACAAACTTCCTTGATCTTACTAACAACTGTAGCAAACACTGCATAAACCCTATTATATATTACCTGCACAAAGGACTGCTACATGTGTACATCTAAGTAAAGACTTGTTAATTTTGCATTTGCTCAGCAGGGCATGAAACATCAGCCTATTAATTTTTCTTCTTTTCTGTTTTCTTATTTCTTTCAGGTGCTTTGACGCAGAAGATAAATGGAGTGAGTGCTTATAACAGAGATAGATAAAGGAGAAATAACTACATATTAAGGCATTTTGTGGTGTTACAGTGCTAAATAAAGACACAGTATTGAAAAAGAAATATCTGCATGGTCTCCACTGCTCAGTTACACCAGCACAGGCTTCTGCTGGCAGCACATGGGCAGATTTGGTCCACAGTTTGTAAACCAAACCTACTATGAAATGTCTTATTCTGAAGGCAATACAGTGATTTCAGAGGCAAAGCTGATTCTGAATTTCTTTTAAAATTACAGTTTCTCAAACAACTCAGCACAAATAGAGTTTAGCAAGAAACTGGGAGAAGGAATGTGATGAGACGAGTCTATTCCTAAGCTGTAACTTTGGGAGGAGGTTTGCTGAGACCAAAGACCTCTCCGGTGAAGCCAGGAACAGCAGGCCTGTGGTGTGGAAACTCAGGTTCCATGTCAGGCAAGAATCGCTCCTTCTCCCTTTAAATAGAAAGAAAGAACAGGAAAATATAGATTTCATTCCGCAGCCCAGTGTTGTTTACAAACTAAGGAAATCTGTGTCCTCCAAACTTTCTTTGATGCAACCACATATAGAAAGATCATTTAAAAATTGTTGATTAAAGCCTGTTAGGCTAAACTGCCAAGACTAGGTGTCTGTTTGGATTTAATTACAAGCCTACTGATGGTTTTTGGAATTATTAAAAATTAGAAATAAATGAGCTCTCTTTGTGCTATTCCACAAAATGGTCAGAGCACCTCATTAAAACAAGTTTGTACATGAGCTCCGTGACTTCAGATTTCTAATCACCATCCCGTTCCAGCAAGTATACGCCTGTTTTCAAACAAACAGCTACATTCATCAAAGTGAGATATTTTTCCTTTGTTGAATTTTAATGAATAAATAGTGTTATCTGTCTTCACATTTTAGCAAAATTCTAGTGATAATTACCCTGCCTGTCATATCTGCAGAAAACTAACAGTGTGCTGTGGGTGCACTGATAGCCCTGGGAAGTAGCTCCATCTGAGGACCCAGGAGGGCTTGAATTTGATGGCCTTAAGAGGAGGGAACAAGGGTTAGCTGGTTCCACTCTTAAGAGGTTGGGAAGGTAAGCACAGCAGAACAAGTACAAAGGGCAGTATTTCACTGTGATACACCTGGAGGTTTCAGATGAAGCTTCTGAGATATTTAAAATTAACCAAGTGGAGCTTTATGAAGTAGTAGTTTATCGTAAGAGCAGAGGTCTCAAGGCTTTACAAAGGTCAGTGCCATTACTTTCATTTTACAGTCATTGAGACTGAGGCACAAACGTCAGTGCAAAACACTTTTGCAAAATCTAGCCTTGTCACATTACTACCCTCTCTCAGTCCCCAGTAAGGGAAAAGAAAACACTTCCTAGAAGTAATACTTTTCTCTTCGTCCCTAAATAACTGTGTTGGGAGAGGAGGAAGTTCAGAGAAACATTTTAGAATGACCAGAAATGCTTCCTTTTCCAAATTTAACACACGTAGAGATGGGAGAATAGGCGAAAGATGGCATAGATGAACTTAACCATGAAAACCATTTATAACTGTTTTTACTTCTACTGATGTAGCACTAATGGGTGTGCCAGCTGACAGCACTAAAAACTAACATGCTATATTTGGGTGGCTCATCCTATCTCACTATTGGTCTTCCAACTTTGGGGAGAGAAAATGATCCAGAGTCCAGGCTCATTCTTCCTTCATGCTCCCATGGAGACAGCCAACAGATGTGCTCATCAGTATGGAAAACTGTATGCAGCTGAATATTGTAATATATTATGCAGAATTAATGTGCAAGCAGCCACGTGCAAAAGCTCCCAGTTACTACTGACATCCCTCAGTGCAGTTATTTACATATATAGGACTGCAGGATCAGGTCCCTAGTGTGGATTTAAGCTCCATATTTTCTCACTGATCCTTAGCAAGATCAAACTGGAACCCTGATGCTAGAAGCAACTAGGAAAAGTAGTGAAGCAGAAAGGGTGCAAGAAGATGAAGGAGAGAATGGGAAGAGTAAGAAAAAGAAAGCCTAAGACACCTGGGAAAGACAACATTCAGAATCAGAGAGCAGAAAAGGAGGATTTCAAATTCACAACCAAAATCTTAAACATTGGATTTTCAGCTTGAATACAAAACAAAGCTAAATTCCCATTGCCACTCGTTGTATTCCTTCAGCATCCCACAGAAAGTTGCATTAGTTCAATATCAAGACTTTAAATCACAGACCAGAACTGTCTCGTGCAAATCAATAAAAGCTTTAGATGATACCTTTGTGAGAGGTTATCTGAGAGTATTAATTCTCTTTCATACCACGGTAGTCAATAATGCTATTAATGCTATTGTCCTGATAGGATCCTCTTTTTATTAGCAAAACCAGCCACATTTATTTCAGACATGATCTTAACATTAGCCAGCATGATAGAGATCAAGTCAGTGGTTTTGTGTCAGCTGGGATTTAGAGCAACGTGAGATTGTACGAGTCAAATGGCCCTGGCTCTTTGGCCAGCATCCACACACCAGACAGTGCCTGTCTGGCCCAGTCTGAGGCAGGAACGATGTGGAATGGCTGTATGTCGGAGTGAAGGACTCCTTGGGGAAGGACCTGGCTGCACAACAGACTCTGTGGCAGAATTGCAGAATGCAAAAGACGTGTCACGCACAATTGGCAGTTTGAAGAAGGAAGGCTGCACGACGAGCTTGTTCCCTTTGCACTGCTGCTGGGCAACACAAAGTGCAGTCTAGAGATTGCAGAAGCTGCAGTCGTCCTTGGGGTGTGCATATCCTTCAAAGCAGGATGTAGTCCAACAGGTTTGACTGGGGAAGAAAACAATGAGGGACAGAGGAAAGCAAAGCCCAACACCTGGCCATCTCTTGGCTGCCACAAGGACAAGAGAGGTGCAAGTCAGGGCTGACAGCACAGTGCTGGTAGTTTCTGAGCCTGAGGTGGGAGCAATGAGATGCTATCATCCTGCAGAAGCACCACTAACAGCATCTGAATGTACTTCCAAAACACAGATGTCACAAAGACACCACGCTTATCAGACTACAGCCATGCCTGCCCACAAGAACAACAACCTGACAAGCCGCACTAAAGGCAGATACCTATCCTGAACCTAAACAGTGTAAGGAGTCCAGCACTGTCCTGCAACACGAAATTCCATTCACTGTGTATGATTCATAGATCCAAGTTCAGTCACCATCACCTCACACAACATTTTTGTTTTACTTTAAAGCACTTACACCCCTAACAAGTTGGTTTTTTTCAAGTTATAACAGGAATTAATTATAGGTATGATATAACAGCAAAACATGAGTGAATTTCTTCTCATCTGATGAACAGAAAGAAATGTGATGCCAGGGTCCAAAATGGAAGCATTAAAACTATTGTGCAGAGAATACTTAGCTGCTGGAAATGGATTATCAGGCATTATGGTAGCCTCACATATTGATCCTAAAGCTCCAGGAAGGCCATTAGCACTGCACAATTGTTGCTAATTCCAAACATTAAGGTAACATTATGCAATTTGCAGATGGACAAAAGTCACTGTTTACCACTGACTACTTTGCTAATTTAGTCATCAAAACTGTTTGCTGGCTGAAATATGATTAAGGAAGAAATATATACAGGCAGCTTTGAACTACATTCAGCAACATAGAGAATTGTTGGCTTCAGTGTTTGAGGAAGGGACAGGCTGAGGATAGAAAGGGATAAAAAGGCAAAAGGCTGTCCTGGTTTGGTTAGGACAGAATCCCAGCCCAGCCTTGCTGGGCAGTTTTGAGTCAGCCAGGGCAGCTGTCCTGGGTTAGCTGCAGGTGCAGCCCACACCGTAATGTCATGGTCGTCATAAAGGGGGAAGGTTTGGTGAGGAGAGGGAGCTCCTGTGGGGTTCCTGCTGCTCCTCCTCTGGCTTCTCCCTACTCTTGAGGACTGCCCTCCTGTTGACTGTGACTGCTGCATACTCATTTGGCTGAGTATAACTTCATATACCTTTGTTGGTATTGGTGTTATTTCATTAAATCTGTTTTCATTCCAACCCGTGGATCTCCGCTCCTTTTCCCGATTCCCCTTCCTTGCTGGTGAGGGACTGTCACGTGATAGAGCAACTGTTACGTTTTAACCCCAGGTATGGGCTAAATGTAGACATAGGCATACACAGAAAAACTTGGTAACAGATCATGGCATCTGACTGGAGAAATCGAAGAAACTTCTCTTTAAAAGTGAATCCAAATAACTCAATTTTCAGAACTGACTACCAGTTTTGGTATCCCAGTTTGGAGATTCATTATCAGAATACTCTCACCTCTCAGACTCTGCAAATTAGATCACTTTAATGGTCCGAAATTTTGGCAACTAAGATCCTAGTCATTTTCTTTTAATCAAGAGGAACAGCTGCTCAGTTGTGGACTGAGAGTACTAGGGAGGTGCCATCAAACTGCTACTGGTTAAGGAGAGACAACAACTACCTGCAGGAAAGTTCTTAGGCTCTACCATCAAAAAGGTAAGACATTTGACAAAGGCAGACTCTGAGTATGCTCACTTTCCTCCATCTGGATGTAGGAAGGGAACAAGAAGCAGATGGGGAATGCTCTTCCCTGCAATCATCGGTAATGGTATCTGCTGCCAGAAGGGGGTAGTCATCAGCCACAACTGACATTGTTCTAACACTGAGATTATGTAGTTGCCACTTGAAGAAAGGTTTCCCCCATATCAGATGCTGTTTCATTATAATTACAACTTGTAAAATGCATTTAGGTCCTCAAAATGCTTAAGAGTCACGATATTTAAAAAGTCATGGCAGTCAGGTGAAGACCCCAGTGGCTGGAAAAAGGGAAGTATTGCACCCATTTCTAAGAAAGCTAGAAAGGAGGACCCTGGGAACTACTGACCTGTCAGCCTCACCTCTGTGCCTGGGGAGATCATGGAACAGATCCTCCTAAAAGCTATGCTAAGGCACATGGAGGACAGGGAGGTGGTTAGAGACAGCCAGCATGGCTTCACCAAGGGCAAGTCCTGCCTGACCAACCTAGTGGCCTTCTGTGACGGAGTGACTAAATCAATGGACAAGGGAAGAGCTATGGACTACATCTACCTGGACTTCTGTAAGGCCTTTGACACAGCCCTCCACAACATCCTTTTCTCTAAAGTGGAGAGAGATTGATTTGATGGGTGGACCGTTTGGCGAGTGAGGAATTGGTTGGATGATCGCATCCAGAGGGTAGTGGTCAACGGCTTGATGTCCTCATAGAGATCGGTGAGAAGTGGTGTCCCTCAGGGGTCTGTACTGGGACCAGTGCTGTTTAATCTCTTCATCAATGGCATAGAGGGATCGAGTGCACCCTCAGCAAGTTTGCAGACGACACCAACCTGAGTAGTGTGGTCGACATGTCTGAGGGACGGGATGCCATCCAGATGGACCCATACAAGCTTGAGAAACCTCGTGAGGATCAACAAGGCCAAGTGCAAGGTCCTGCAGCTGGATTGGGGCAATTCCCAATATCAACACAGGCTGGGGATGAAGAGATTGAGAGCAGCCCTGCCGAGAATGACTTCAGGGTACTGGTGGTCAAAAAGCTGGACGTGAGCTGGCAATGTGTGCTCACAGCCCAGAAGGCCAACCGTATCCTGGGCTGCATCAAAAGAAGCGTGGCCAGCAGGCTGAGGGAGGTGATTCTCCCCCTCTGTTCTGCTCTGTGAGACCTCACCTGGAGTACTATGTTCAGCTGTGGAGTCCTCAGCACAGGAAAGACATGGACCTGTTGCAGCAGGTCCAGAGAAGGGCCACGAAGATGATCAGGGGACTGGAACACCTCTCCTAGGAGGAAAGGCTGGGAGAGTTGGGGTCGTTGAGCCTGGAGAAGAGAAGGCTCTGGGACACCTTATAGTGGCCTTTCAGTACTTAAAGAAAGATGGGGGACAAACTTTTTACTAGGGCCTATTGTGACAGGACAAAGGGTGATGGTTTTAAACTAAAAGAGGGTAGATTTAGACTAGATACAAGGAAGAAATTTTTGCAATGATGGTGGTGAAACACTGGAACAAGTTGCCCAGAGAGGTGGTAGATGACTCATTTGTGGAAACATTCAAGGTTAGGTTGGACAGGGCTCTGAGCAACCTGATCTAGCTAAAGATGTCCCTGCTCACTGCAGGGGAGGTTGGACTGGATGACCTATAAAGGTCCCTTCCACTTCAAACTATTCTATGATCTGACGTGAGATACCAGACACTAATCTGTGTCCCCTGGGCACCATCTCATTGGTATGAATAATTTAACTGGACTGCAGAACATGTCAGCAACATCTCTGCTGGATGTTCTTGTCCTGGCCATAGATCACAGTAAATCTAGACCAGACTGAAGTAATATGAAGGATAACATTCAGGAAAATTATGCAACATTATTATATCACCTCAGTCAAATTTGACCACGCTCTGACCAAAAGGGTAAAGCAGGGTTTAAAAAAAAAAAAAAAAAGTCTAGTTTATGCAGAAAGTTGTGTAGAAAAAATTTTGCCATACTTGGCCTGTTGTTCCTTGCGTTTCTGAGCCAGATATTTCTTTTTCACATCCAGAAGCTCATTGGCAAGTCTTTCGATTTCACGTTTGTATTCTTGGCTCTGTGATTCATACCTATGCAAGTCTGAGGACAAAACCTAGCAAACAAAAGGCAAAAAGCAGAAACAGGAGGTGTTAGTTTCACTTACAAATAAGTTAGTACTTTTCCAAACACTTTTTCCTTTCACATTTGATGATATAAGATACCACCATTTTCCACCACATCTCATTTTCTATCATGATGTTTCATTTGATCACCTCTGCTCACCTAAGGACAATTTACAAAATTAAGGCTATGCCATTTAACCACAATAAAACATGTAAAATATGTTCCAAGCATTATGGGAATGGTATTAATACATACATTAGCTCTTAATGTTCTGGGATATCAATCTGGGTGAAAACCCAAAATGAAAGTCTTAAAAAATAATAAAGCAGGGATTTTTTTAATAATAATGGATTTTATTCACAGGAATCTACTTTGTTACGTGAATTAATTCAATCCACACAGGCAAAGTACTACCAGGCAGTGTAAATATTAATACAATGTCACTTTCATGTGAATCAGTAAACTTTAAAAAAAAGTAGGAGCATGCATAGTGTGTTTTCCTTCTTTAAGAAGGCGAATAGCTTGACCTGGCATCACAAAATGGCACATGTGCCAGTTCACTACAGCATACTGTGCCTGAAATACACAGTAGCAATTGACTGCATTAAGGACAAATGGGAACCGTATGGAAAACTTCAAATCACATTCAGTTTAGCTAAACTTCGGCTGCTATTTTACACTTTCTACATTGTTTTTCTTCTCCGTGGAAAATTAAGATTTGCATAAGAGCCTCTTTGTTTCCTAAGGGCCCATCTGCTCCTGCATTTTTTTCCTCATGGTTAGTATAGACGTGATTATGATGCAGTGAACAGGAGATGATGACTTCAACAAAGAGATGAGCTGTAGAAGCAGATGAACTCCTGGGGAGACTGATCTTTCATGCAGGCAAGAACAAGGGAAGATCAGCTTATTCTACCAAAGAATCACTTTTAAACATCATGCTTTCAAAGTTTCACACAAGATTCCTTCAGAACCAGGAAATCCTCCCTTCTAGTGACAAGGGGTTAGGACAGGTTACTCCCGTCATCCCTATAAAAGTTGCAAGTCTAATACAGGTGTACACATTACAAGAGAAATAACAAGAATTTAAATCTGGGTTCTCAATATATTTCACCTAGTTTGTTAAAAAGAAAATGAAATGGCTTTGATTTGCTTATTAAAGATCTTAACAGTTCAAGAAAAGGGAAGGAAAATAAGCTTAATGGAAAACTCATAATGTCCCAGAATGCCCATGTACAAAAAGCATTTACAGCATTGTGCTTAACATTCATATTCTAATAAGACTTTTCCTCTATTTTAATGAAACAAACTAGCATAATGTGAAAAAAAACAACTTCTACTGCTATGGGTTCTCCCTTGGGGAGATGCAGTATTAACCTTTTTTTCCTGATCTAATATACTAAGGTTCATCTTCCTGAAGCCTTGCTCCCCAGGATCACCAGTGAAGTCATTCTGCAAGCCCGGCAGCCCCTCAGCCTGAGACAGAGAGCATCTCTTACTTTCAGCTGTTTATTTTTCTCTCGGAGAGTGTACTGGTAGTGCTGCAACTGTTCTGCGGCTTCAGGCCCAGGCTTCCGGGACAACATGAGCTTCAATTCAACATACAGTTTCTCCTTTTCCTGAGAAAAAGACAAGAAGAAGTGTTCTTATAAAACTGCTATAGCAGCAGCACAACCTGTGATGAAATCAACCTCACTGGAAAATGCAACTCAATCAGGAAGATATTTGCAGAAACAAATCTGCCTGTGTGTCAGTCTTTCCTCACTAACCATAAGGTATTTAAAGTTGTTGTGATAGCAGTGGGAGAGCTCATTAAGAGAAACATCCAGCTACTTCGAACCACGAATGAAATACTCTTAAACACTGTCATCAGTGAGCATGCTCTGCCACAGAGACTATAAAACAGTCACTGGAAGAGTATCCAGGGGTGGGAAATTAATTACTAGTAACTGTGCTTATTGCAACCTTTCTTCTTATGAGCCACACTGCCTTACATTAAGGATCACAGCTTCACCCAACAGGATGTGAGCAGACTATAGAAATGTCAGGGAAGGACTGTACAAAAGAATAACTTCTTCTTCCAAAGAAAATCCTGCAAAGCACGTGTATGTACACACACACACACAGAGATACACATACAACCTTTCAGTTTAACTGCAGGGGCCCTGGGAAAGGGAAAGAAAATATAAACAGCAACAACTATGACTAGCACAACTACCATCAAGTATTTTTTCTTTGTCATGTGTCTCCTCTTCCTTCATGTTGGAACAGTACACTTGTGGGAATTGGATAGAGCCATGCCTGAACAAAAACCACACCACAGACCCACTTACAGCTTTCTGTACTGAAATGCTGCTTTCATCTGTGTTTTGAGGATGTGCATGTTTTTAGCCTGAGGAATAAAGCTCTGAACAAAGCCATCTTCATAGCTTTGCACTTTACAATATTTCTAGTATATACCCTGTCAGACTAAGATGATTATTATTTAACATTATTTAGCAAGATCCCATCCCTGTCTGGTACTTGGAGAGCTGGAATTAAAAAGGAGAGTTACTTGACTGGAAGTCAGACTAGCAGAGAAAAGATTTAACTGAAGAAAACAAAAACGCCAAGTAGGAGATAGGATGGGTGATGATTTTCACCTTTGACAACATTTGACAACATCCCTTTTTGCTGTGTTTTTTATAACTTCTGTCTACAACTCTTACCACAGAATTCTTCCATTAGTGTGGGAAACCGTGCCATCACATCACCTAGACTTGCTACATTTGGCCTTGCTCAATGGTTGAGCCAGGGTTTTCAAAACTGGCTTGTTATTTTGAAGATGTAAAATTGTAGGCGTCCAGTCTTCAAGAGCATTAGAAGTCCAGAGTTTTTAGACCTCAGCATTTTCTGGAAACCATGCACTATAATGGTCACTAGTTGAGACCCAAAAATGGAAGCACTTCAAACCATAAATTATTTTTGCAAGCATTGCCCTTTAACTCTGAATATTACCGAGGAAGAGTTCCTTATAAATGAAGTGGTTCACAGTTTATCTCTAGAAAAATCAAAACCTCCTGAGACTCAGACTGAAGTTTGCATAGTAGCAAAAATTAAATTGACAGTTCATTCTCAGTAGAGAGTTATGTCTCTACAAGTGGTTTCCACTACCACCTTTTCTTTCTGAGGAAGCAAGATTTTACTGCAAGTTAAAAACATCAGCAAAAGAATAATCTGCTTGTCAAATCTGTCTGGTCAGTATTAACATTCCACCCCTGAATGTATCACAGATTTGTATTTCGGAAGAATGTAATGATAATTTGGATAAATATGGAGCAGTTGATGGATTGAAGGTCTTATGTGCAATTGTTTTCCAATTTATTCCTCTCCTAACCCTCTACAAGGGCCAACCAAGCTCTTCAAACATTGTGCAATGGTGTGTATAATAACCCCATTTAGAGACAAAGCGTGCAATTATATTATAAGGAGAATCTATCTTACGCAACAGAGACTCGTTAGCTGTCCGATGGATATTGTCTCCATAACACAACAGAGGCAGAACCAGCTGTCTTATAATGCATATCCTGTCCTTCCTTGCTAAGCGCTGTCCATCTCTTTTACATCTAGTCAATTAATTTGTCACTGGGTTCGAAGCACCATATGTCAGCAAAACATTAAAAGAAAAACCTGGACACTTCTTTCCTCATCAGCAGAAGTTTGTATTCACAAGTTGGCATTTCTATAATTTCTGTCATTTTACCCCAGGATGCTAAAAAAAAAAAAAAAGCCAACAAAAAACCCAATTCATTTAAATTAATTTAAAGCATTGCTTACAGCAGGTACTTTTATCTCCACACATAAGAAATCAGGAA